TGCCCGAACTGGAGGAGATTCGGGTTAGTCCCGTTGTGGCACGAAAGGGCTTGTTGAATGTTCTTGAACATGGTGGTTCTGGCTGGAAGAAGCGCTGGGTGGTCAGTATAAAGTGTGCTTAAGTTATTCTATTCGATTGAACCAACTCTGTATTCCATTCAGATTGTGCGACGTCCTTATGTCTTCATCTATCGCTCAGAGAAGGATCCGGTGGAACGTGCTGTCTTGAACCTGGCCACAGCACAGGTTGAATGCAGCGAGGATCAAGCGGCTATGGTCAAAATACCCAACACCTTCAGGTGAGTTGGCCCAACAAAGTGATGGATTTAATGAAATCATAATTAATGAATAATGAATAATGATAAATTTGTTTTCTGTCCGTGTAGCGTGGTGACCAAACATCGTGGCTATCTGCTGCAAACTCTGGGCGACAAAGAGGTGCACGACTGGCTCTATGCCATCAATCCGCTGCTGGCTGGCCAAATCAAGTGAGTCAACTATTGCTATAATATATAATAAGTGATATTAATAAATTATTTCCGCACAGATCCCGTCTGGCGCGTCGTACTCTCGAGCCTGCCTCGCAGACGGCATCACAGATCCAGGCCAGCAACGCGGTTAATGCGGCCAGTGCGAACAAATGAGATACAATTACGATGGAATCCGTTTTGGTTTACTGAGACGCAGGCTATGGCTGGCTGCAGCGGCTGGTAATGAGCAGGCGCCTTAGACAAGCGCCACAGGCAGCTGGCAAATGAATGTTAAATAGCTAAAGATTCCATCGCGAATATTATGACACACAATATAAGAATATAAGAAACCCAACACAAGGAAAACAGACAAGAAAAATGAAAAACCGAATTGCAAAGCGTACGTAATAATTAAGTAGTGACAAACATGTTTATTGAGTATTGTAATTGTATTTAATTATAATTATTATTTTGTGCTAACAGCCAAAATTAGGCAACAGTGAGCGCGACACAGTCTTTGTGGCATACTTAACGGGCGCTCGCAATATTTGGCAATACATTTGATATATATGTTTTGTAAATAGTTTTATGTTTCCGAATTGTATAATAACGTATTAGTTAATTAATTTATAATTTAATTGCCGAATGAACTTTAAATTTTCCAAGTGATATTATGTTCGAATTAGAGAACCTTTGTTAAAACAAGAACAAGAAGAACAACAAGAACAAGTACAGCACACTCCACACACAAACAAACAAACATATATATGCATTTTAAAGGAGCAACTAAAGCAAACATATATAAAATCATATATATATTTCTATATATAAAACAATATTGTATAAAACATATATATATGTGCTGTTTATACACAAATTTTCAATATATATATATATTGTTTAATTAACGCAAAGTCAAGCAAGACATATGAAAATAAAAAACAAAAGAAAACTAAATGCAATTACATATACATATGCAAAAAATATATATATATATATTATACCTATATAATATGTATGTGTGTATGTTAACGAAAGACCGTACAGTATATAGAACGTAGTGTGGGACTTAAGAAGTAAGCGTACGCTCATTAATAGAAATCTCTAGAAATACAAAACTCTATTCTCTATATGTTCGATAAAATATAAAAACAAAAACGAAATCATAAGAAAAGCCACAAAAGTTATGAACAATGTAAATGGCACGGCAATATATACCAGGACGAACAAGAAAACAAAAAGGAAAATAAAAAACGCTTCACTGCATAGAGTTGACAGCTTATAAGCTTCTCGTTTAGTTATGCCTTAATCCTAACTCCAACTTTCTCTCTATATAGATGTAACTCTTCTAATGTTTTTCGATTTCACAAGAACCACCTGCAAAATGCTTAAAGCGAACAAAATATTTAACGTAGTCTAAAAACTTTAACGAAATATTATAATGCAATGGCCACCTGTACATTTCTAAGAAAGTTGAAAAAAAAAAAACAAAAACAAATACAAAATGCGCTTACAATGCAATATATATGCAGTAATATGCCCTATCAAAACTTATATATGTAAACCCCCTGGCAAAACAAAAATTTGTAAAACAATTATTCTCATTTGCATTTGCATTTGCTTCGAGGCACGAGCTTAAGCCGGAAAGAGTGGCGGGCAAGAAGTCTTTGCCGTAGTTTGTGGGTCCCAACATGGGGATGGCTTGTACCCGGAGACAAGTGTCGAATATCCCCTAAAGTGTTGGTAGGTGTTCGCTTTCGTATGTTTTCGATGTTAGAAAACGTGCAAAATAAAACGTAAAGCGATCAAGTTTGAGTTTGTAGCGAAATGTAAACATTTGTTAAACTATTATGTAATATTAATTTGGAATTGTAAAATATTAGAGAATTGTAATTACAATAATCATATATAACTATATAAATATATATATATACTCACAAAAATGCGCTGGTTTATCAAAAAAAAATAAGAACAATGAAATTGCACACAGTCAAAGCAAATGAAGCTAAATCCAAGTATTAGACGATCTATATATTGTTGAGCAAACGAGCAAACTCCACTTATAGTGCATATATACGAGTATATGGTACATACAAATACATTTGAAATTCAATATAGATATATATATATATATTTACATATATATGAAATACTATATAGTTAAACAAAATTGATAACTCGGTTATCTGAGCAGAGCAAATGAGGCAGAGTATTCTGCAGTCGGATTCGATTTTATCAGCAACAACAATTCCAACCGTATGCTAACTGTATGTATAATCCAACAAATTATATATATATATATATATATATATATATATGCAATTGGGCGTATCACTACTAAAGAACTATAAATTAAAACGGCTTTAAATAAAAACTGTAAAAAAAAACAATCATAGCAATCTATTTCTATTTGATATACTTATTATTATTATTATAATAGGTAAGTACTATGTCTTACTGTTGCTATAGCTTAATCATTTATGGGGAAGAATTGCGTTCACTATTACTTTTTAAGTGCAAAGCTATTCAAATCATCTGGCAAGTTATAATACCCATTTCATTTGGATTGAAGGGTCACAAAATATATGGATGCTCATGAGATATGCTTAGATTTTGAACATGTTATGGTAATAGATTATATACTAGGTATATGTCTTCATTCTCATTGGCATATATTCTTCATTTAGTTTTAGAATTATATAGAAGAAATTTAATTAAATTAATGAGTTCGCTTTGTATGTTGAATTTCTTTAGGAAATGACTTTAATTTTTAGTAATAAACAAAATAAATAAATACTTTATTTTGTTTAGGTAATTTATTCATTTGATTCAAATAAGTTTTTTATTTTGTTTTTACACATTTATTTTATTATCCATTTAATTCAATTGAGTCAGCTCAACGCTGCTTAGGCAGGGATTTGGCCATTGTTCTGGGTTGAATTCTCTTTAGGCGCACTTAAGGCAAGATTTGAAACTAAAGACCTTTGGGCTTTAACCTGGCTAATAAGTCACTTGAAAGTCACAATAGACCACACTGCGTATGCGTTATGTAAATCCATTCAGAGTGCGCACTAAATCTACGACACAATTGTGCGCTGGATTCCCGAATAAGGCCAAAGCAATTGTCGGCAATGCAAATTGTAGACTTCGTAGGATGTGCCAGAAGGCCAAGCCCACAGAGGGAATGGGGCATGCAGGAGATTGAGACGTGGCTTAAGGTATGCGCATTAACTTGGCCAAGAGCTGTGCCGAGCTGGGGACAAATTTACTTAACGTTCGTTCAACCGAAGAGAAGCAGTGGTAATTAGGTAACTTGTCATTGCCTTTTGGCCATTTGGTCAGTTGACCGTTTGGCATTTGCCATTTGGTAGCTGGTAGTTGGTTGTTGGTAGTTGGTAGTTTGCTGCTTTTTTCAGCTAGCCTGCCTGCTGACCATCTCCGTTTTTATGGGCCTTTTGTTGGTTTTTCTGACTGCTCGCTCAAATGAATAATTCAAAAGTCGACAGGCAGTAAAATCCGCATTTAAGTCGCACTGTGGCCGTTGTGGGTTTTAGTTTTTGGTCTCGCTTGTTAATACCCTGTAAATAGCGGAGGTGCTTTTAAATGGGGTATATTGAAATTTGAATTAGGCATGTAGCAGATAGAGATTTTGAGTCCAGAATTTATTTTGTAGATCAAATGCAGTTTTAATGTATATCTGCTGATTTTTTGCCAAAAATCGATAACTATCGTTTATTAGCTTAGCTTTTTTATACATATCATACGCTATCTGCTAGTCGAATGTTTTCAAGGTTAAGTTTCAATTTCGAGTTCAATTTAGAATGAAAAGCTTCTAAAGATAGTAGTACCAGAATATTACTATCTGTACAGATGGGGAGATACGTCGAGGTAGGTATATGTTTGGCATAGCAGGGTATCTGCCAGTCGAATGCAACCCCTTGTTAGATAGTAAGGTGATGTTTAGTCTGTATAGATAGATATTTCAGTAGAACGAGCTGTGTAGTAGCAATTGCAGGGTATATATTAGTCGTTCACATACACTGATATACTGAGCTAGATATGTTGCAGTTATTGTTGTTTGTTGCATTGTCACTGGAGTCTGATTGAGGTCAGTGAAATCCATGTGTTTGACCACTCGCTCTTTTGACTTGTTCGCACTTTAAGAACTGCCAACTGCCAACTGGCAACTGCCAACTGGTAGTGGATCTGGCTTAAATGGAGCTAGTGGCTTGGCTGAATCCCCCATTGGAATCGCCTGCGCTGCGTAAGGCGCAATCGAGCACCCTAGAAAAGGAAGCAACAACACAATGGGCTTCCGCTTTGAGTGTGTGTAAGAGACGTAAAAATAGATACAATTAAATGCAAATCGAAGGCGGATCGATTAACTTGGCAAGCGGCGCAGGCGAAGACACAGACATTGACATTGTCAACGATAGATGGGCATGAGGAAGCTGGGCGCTGGCGGTCGGGGGCGCAGTACGTCGTGTGCCAAGTGCCGATGCGGCGGCGACTATAAAAGCAAACGCCCAACAGCGGCAATGGCGCAAAAACGTGTGAAGAGGACGCACAGTCAGTTACGTCAGTTTCCACACGGTTTCCACAGAAGACACAAGCAGCAGCATGTTCGACTCGAAGATTAAGGTGCCCAAGTACGACTCGGATGCATTCGATAATGTCGAGTACGAGCTGCAGATGAGCTACACCCTGGAGACGGATCGTCGGATCATGAGCTTCTACGATGCCATGTGGGGCATGGAGGTCACCGGGGGCATCGATCAATTCGAGCCGCTGACCATTGTGAATGTCTCGCCGACGGGTCTGGCCAAGCGCGGGGGCATGCGCATCGGAGATGAGATCACACAGATCAACGATGTGCCGGCCCTGGAGCTGACCTTCAACGAGGCATTGCAGCTCTTTCGCAAATCCTCTCGTTATGTGCGCGTCTATGTCAGGGGGTAAGTAAAAATATAGTAAGCGACAAGGAATCAGTTGATAACCTAATCCTTGCAGCGATGACGATGCACCTGGTGAGGAGGATTGGACATGCGATTGCTGGTTCAAGCCCCGCAAGCCCTGGAAGCGCGACTTTACGCCTATTCAGTGGACCTTCCCGTGGAACGATCGTCGCAAGCCCGTCTACAAGGAGTCCAATTGCTTCATGGTGCCCAGCAAGATGGAGGAAAAGATTAGGGCAAGGCGGGCTGCCACCTCAGCAGTGCACAAGAAGGAGGATGCACCGCCGCATACGCGCTCTCTGACGCCCACACCTCGGCCTAAAAATCAGCCTGGTCCCAATCTTCTAGAGAGTGTGTTGCGGCCTCGTGGACCCCCACCCAGGGATTAGCTTGGAGATCAAATAGATATATAGACCAAGAATGGGAAATATATATAAATAAGTATATATATACATATATCTGGTCAGCAGGCAGCGGACTTTGTGCTGCAGTGCGTCCAGCTGCGAAGCGCTTTGACAGGCAACTGCAACAGTTGAAGTGTCACAGGAAAAGGCGTTCAGCTTAGAGATGAGTGCGTGCCGAGGAAGGCGATATATATTTTATTTAAATAATTTTATTTTTACTCATACTCTAAAAAAAATATGTAAAAAAATTTAAAAAAATGTATTAATATATCCAAATTGAAAACAATCAAATGTTTCAATATTTTACTCAATTCGATCTCACGCGCACATCTCTAGTGCAACTGAACAGGCAACATCTGTCGCTAAAGTCAGTTGAAATGTCATATGAAAAGGCATTCTTATTGGAGTTGGTTGGACAATTAGAAATTGTTAAAATAATATTTTTATTATAGCTTATATAAAAGGTTGAATTTTCTTCTTGATCTATTAGATTCTCTGGTAAAGTGTACTTCACGCACTCTTCGCTAACAGTAATAAGCAATTAGCTAAGGCTCAAGCGAGTTTCTTATAGCGAATGAATTAGTTCTGGTCGCTAACGGAAATGTGTATCAATCACTTACATGCATTTCCAACTGGACAACAGACATGTGGAAGTGGCTGATCTTTGTTAACTTTCTGTTCATCTTGCATCAGAGTTGGGCGCAACGAGCCGTGACTTGTGGTAAGCCAGTCTATATGGACTGCATCGACTATTGCAATAAGAACTGCATCGAGGACGTCATCCAATGCCGGTACAACTGTGAACACGGCTGTGGCTGCACTATGGGCTATGTGGTACGCAATAATGGCGCCTGCGTGAAATTAAGCGAATGCGAATTTGAAGACATTACCTCTGAGGAACTCACGACGCCCACACCTTGTACGAACACTGCGAATGAGGTCACGGAAGCCAATGGCGAATATATTCTCAATCTGATTGAATTTGAGACGCTTAATCCTTATTACTAAATCTAGATATGTATGTGTGGCGTTATCCAGCACTAATTTATGCTTGAACGTCTACGGCATATTAACATAACAAATCGATAAGTGTCAGAGACATTTAAATTGTGAGCAGTTATCGCGATCGCACCCATCACAAGAGCAACAAATATAACGAATTTAAGCGCGCAATAAAAAATATCTGCATAAAATATGTTTGCACCTCTATTTAGTTTATTAATCGCATCCGTAGCCAAAAGGTTAATTTGCTTTTAGGAGTCTGTATGCGAGCGCAGTAATAATTGTTACTGTTAAAGCAATCTGCACGACTTTCCAATGCGTCTATTGAAAATACCAAATAATTATTCCTTATGCTTTTCAGGAAGAGATGACGATTAGAATATGTTGCCGTCATAAGCAAAGATACGTGTTAATATTGTAAGTGCATATGTATGCATATATGTACGAATAAACAAACACACATATATACGTGTATTCATACAAACATGCAGGCTATATGCACACAAGCATATTTGCGTTCGATACAGGGTAACTCATGTGCTAATTGCATGTACGTATATATGTATATCTTTTATTTTTATTTATAGCTAAGGAAGCTATCGTTATCGACATTTTAGCCTCATTGTTGTGTTAATTTTCTATATATGAAAATCAGTTAATATGTAATGTAAATAAGATTATTGATATTTGGAAATATGAACACTCTCTCTGATTCGTTCTCTTCCTAGCCCACTAACGGTTTATATGCCTTTGCAGCAGTTTGTTTGTTTTCCTTTTACTGTACAAGTGAAATAAAATCAAATATTTGATTTATTTGCCAATTGGGATTTGTGTCATGCATTCAAAATTCGGTCCAATTAGCAAAACAAATGCGGCTTGTACTGTAAGAAAAGCTCTTAATTTGTTAATGTCAGGTCGCAGCTGTTGTCCGGAACTCTTGTTGGACAATTGAATTTTCACTTAAGAAGTGCGGCGCACTAATAAAATGTAAATTGTAAAATCATAAACAAAAGCACATCAGATGAAATTTATGTGCTACATAAAGGCAAACAAAGACAGCAAAATGCAAATGGTGTAAATCTAGGGAAATGTAGGAGATGAAAATTCCAGGGAGCAGGGCATGAGGAGCAACTTTCAGGCGACGCTTTCATTAAGCATATAATTCAATTTTCTTTATTGTCCTTGTTGTTGTTGCTGCTGCTGCCACGCTTAAATGTAGACTAAAATATGCAAATAATACACGCACACACTCCTGTTTGTGTGTGTAAGTTGGCTGGTCTCGTTGGCCCTTACGTCCAATCAGAAAGCGCAGTGTGTAGCCATGCTTGAAGCAGCTGTCGCCATCTGGCGGTCATTTACAGATTAGCCAGAAAATGTGGACAGGGCATCGATTGGTCGTTCATGCTCATGCAAAATGACATTGCAATTGCGCATTAATATTAATGTAAAGAAATATAGACAAGAAACGAGAGGAAAAGAAATAAAAGCAAAAGCAAACAAAGCAAAAAAATTTCATTAATGATATTTTAATATGCAAGGAATTTGCACACAAATACACACACACAAACTCTCTCTCCTTCTTTGTTATACTTTCACCCCTCCACTCGTGCGCTCTCTCTGTCTCTTTCTCTCTATCTCTGTCTAATGAAGTTGAATGTGTTGTTGCGAGCTCTTTGCCGAGTTTTGATTAATGCGTAAATTGTGGAAGCTGTGAACGAAACAACTTTTAATCAAATTGAAAACTTTAAGCTTTTATTGGATTTATCTTTAATTAAAGCCAAAGCAAATGAAATTCTAATTGAATGCCTACACATTTTCTTTGTATTTATTTTGTTAAAAGTTTTGTGTTGAACGCAAAATCATTCTATTAAAGTGAAACTCGCTTAAAATCAAATTAAACGCAACTAAAGTTAGACTTTTTGATTTTAAATTAAAAGCAAAGTTTAGTGCACAAAGATGACAGCAGAATAAATTAAAATTTAAAGAATATGAAGCACTTCACTTAGATGTCTTGTCAAATATTTCTTACCTTAATTTAGCAATTGAGCTGAAAATAACTCAGTTAAATAATATTCGAATCGTTCCTGGCTCGAATCATTTTGTATATGATAAATATATTTAATTTCTTTTATATATATTAAATGTTGGTTTGTGTCAGTGCCTATCTCTAAGCTACATGTATAGCAGTAAAATGGAATTAGTCAAGGCTTAAGCCAGTTTCTGATAAAGAATCAATTGTTACAGAAGCTAATTGAAATGTATCTCAATCAGCGGTTAATTTTCCAGCATGCTTGTCGGTTAACGGTGGCGCTGGTAGATGGCTGGTGGGTGGTGCTTGGCAATTCTATTTAAAGGACCCTATAAAATGCCGGTAAAATTTTCTATTTCTGCATTGTGACCTTTGTACATTACTTGACCTCTGAGGTTCTGGCTACAGCGAGCACACTGTTTGCATACGTTGTTTAAACCCTTTCATAGAATGTATCAAATGAAAATATAGATGTAGGGAAATGTATCTGCCCTTTTTTTGTGTTATCCAGCACTCAGTTATGCTTCGACTGTTTATTAATAGAAAATAGAAAGCTATTAGTGACATTTGTCAGCTATTGATATTGCTACCATCAGAGAAACAGCAAATAAAGCGAACTTAAACTTTGTCAGAGATCTGAACTCCTGATCAAAATATGTTTATAATTTATACAATAAATTAATAAATACCAAATAAATGCCAGCAAAAGAAATTGACTTTAAAGTTGATTGATATATTTAACAATTCATCAGCTCCCTTTCCTTTAGCCATAAAAATACTTTCCAAGTTGCAGTTATGTATCATATATATATATATATATATATATATATATATATACATGTGTAACATGATGAGTACGCAATAGCTGCCATTTAGAGTAAAAGTTTTCTTGGTTTTTGCCCGATAATAATCTCCGTTTTATGGCCAAGCGAAAAAGATGGAAAACAAAATACCAAAACAGTTTTGAGACTGAGCCATGCCAATTGCAATTTACGTTGGCAGCAGAAAAACTAGAAGACAAAAGAAAAAACTGGTTGTCATTTGGCTTTTGGCTTTGAGTAAAAGTCAAGTCGAGTCATTGGGAAAACTTGCACTTGACAAAGTGATTGCCATGTAACAGCTCCGAGAAAAACCAATGAAAATTAGCCAAAATGGAAAATTTTTGTAAATCAAATGCAAAACATGATTGCTGGCAATAAAATCCGATTGATTGCCAACCAAAATATACCCTGTAAATGGCTGAGCAGTTGAGGGTCAATGTGTAATCGGTAAACTGAATCTGTTCTTTATGTTATTAACTGGACTTATAAATAGCATTTATATTTTATCATAGTATATATATATATAGATATGTAGTATTACAGTCTCTATATCTATATCCAATACTAATTCAGATGCTCGAATTTGTACTTAAGCAATTATTATAGCTGCAAGATACCCGTTTTTACAAACTTCCATAAAGTTGAGGGTATAATAATAGCTAACTGCAGTCTGAAGTGCTTCGAAAGTTCAGAAATGTCAAATGCTGTTCGTCTTTCAGTCTTGAACCAACTTGTGCTTCGACTCCTCCATTTGCACCGTCGCCTTGTGGGCAACTCACATGAGATTTGGATTCGGCTTCGGATGCTGGGCAAGTTTTTCAGCTGAATGGCTAAAGCCAATTTATAGTTTCTGTGCCACGATAGTGTTTTCCAATGCACTCTCAGCTAAAACCGAATGCTTAAAGCTGAAGACCACAAGGTCGCTACGTGGTCGGCCATTAAGCTGGCTAACAGGCTGCCAAGTCGAATGTGCTGGACTGTGAGTTGGGCAAACAAGGCATCTTGAAATTGGTAACCTAAGCTCTGCCAAAATGTGGGTCAATCTTAAGCTGACCAAATAAATGGCCAAAATGGATGAACTGGATCAGCCAGAGTAGGCGGGCAGCCAGTCAGGCAGCCAGGCAGCTAGGCAGTCAGGCAAACACTTGAAAAGGGTTTTCATGTAACATATTGAAGAAAAGCTGAATAGGCAAACAAGTGGTGCAGAAAATATGTTAAAGGCGACTTCGTCTCGTCGCCTCGCAGTCGCACAGTCCGTGGTTAAGATGTTAAGATGACCCTAGAAGATTGATGACTCACATTTTGTATAACTTAATCCTTGCACCTTCGCAAAGTGCTCAAAATTTACAGATAGAGCTGTAAAAACTGTCAGTTTGTAGGGGAGCGCGGGCAACCAGCTTACGCTTGATGTATGTGGTCTGCCTTCGCTTTGGTAAACAATTTTTTTTGTGAGTGCTATTCAGTGTTAACTGGCTTCAAGTGCGATATCCTTAACATTTTCAGAGAAGAGTGAAATGATTTTCGTTTATTGAAGAAATTTCCATTAAGGCTTAAGATCTCTTTATGCGATGTCCTTTAACGTTGCTTGTGCCAGCTCTCTTCTTAATTATTTTAATTTCGTTTTTTGTAACTCTTTATTTCTCAATTTCTTTTGAACTTTTAACAATAAGTTTTCTTTAGCTTGATTATCTCTTGCCTTGGGATGGACATGCTTCATTTGTTTTCCTTTCGTTCTCTCATTATCTACCTCCCTTCGCTATCTCTTTATGGCTGTCTATATATCTGTCTCACTTATTTGCTCCTATAGCTCTCTCATTTTCTCTGTCTCCATCTCTCTATATCTGCACCTCTTTTAGCAACTTTAATAAACATTTCATTGCTGCGGACTCCCGCAAAATTCGTGCATAAGTTATGTTAATTATAATTGTCGACTTATATGTATATATACATATATATATATATATATATACATATATGTATGCGTATAAACATACATAGAGACAGATCTATTGCATTTTCATCAACTCTGAATTGCAGCCAAAAGTTTCAACAACAATTTATGACCACGCTGTGCACAGCTTCTAGCCATTGTCCTGTCAGACGGCGGTTGTCATTGTTGTTGTTGCTGTTGCTGTTGCTGTTGCTGTTGCTGTTGCTGTTGCTGTTGCCGTTGCTGTTGCCGTTGCTGTTGTTTGTGCTGCTCAACATGCAACATGAATATTTCATGAACACCG